AAAGGTTTAGATGTAAGAGACTTACGGTGTTTTCTCCTTCATTTCTCGTTTGATTTTCTCCAAAATCYGCCTCGTATTTCCCTGCTGGCTGCCTCCCTATGACGTCGAGTCGTCGACACAGGTGGACCCACCCACTACGTASCGCTTTGTGTTGGCTGGTCAGCTGCGAACACTTTGAGGACTTACTGCTCATGTCCAAAATCTTCACAGGAGTTGTGTACGGGAGTCTGTGGCGGCGAACACAGCGTGACCCGGAAGTGACTCGCACGAAAACGCTCATGAGTAAAATGGAAGTTTACACATCAATAACTATAAATTATTTATTTTGCTTATTAGAAAACATATATACAATATTTTTTCGGACTATTTATAACATTTTATTTTGTTATTTTATTTTTGTGTACCAAAACTAGAGGGGGGGCAATGAACGTGCACCCCCTATTGACCAGCCGCCACTGACATGAACTGATCCAGTTTGGCTTCATTTATCTGCAGCAGGTTAAACAATCACTCACTTAGGACAAACGTCTCAAACTGTTTGTCTGAGGGCCACACGAGGCTTGTGTTGGCCCTCAAAGGGCCAGTTATAGTTATCTTCAATGATTCATGTTTAACTTCATGTAAACACCAAACATCACGCTCCTCGTCTCATTGTTACAACTGAACACCTCTAACGCTAACTGAGCTCTACCTGGTGTTTCCTGCATAGAAACAGTGTTTTAACATGTCCTCTATTTAACAATAAAAAGTACTACGACTGACCAAATATGCAATAAATACTGCAGAAATACTATTAAAATAAAAGTAAGAGTTTTACTGTTGTGTTGTAGTGAGTAGCTGCTGTCGAATTCTGAACTCTCCCACTTTCCTACTGGGAATTCCCAGGTATAATCAGCATGCATCATGGGAGATGTAGTTTATTTGAGACATTATTACTGTGCTGTCAACTATTCACTTAAAGCCAACAGCACAAGAATTATTATCTTTCACCTTTTAAATTCATTTATTTTGTTGCATTTAATAATAAATTTAATAGTTACCATTGATATAAAAACTATTTTCATATTAAGTACAAAAATAAAAACATATTTGCAGCCAGGAGGGAGTCAGCTGTGGGCCATGTTTGAGTTTGACAAGTGGTTTAACATGTTTTTTATATTTATGAGATTCAATCAAATTAAAAATATTAAACCTTGTGTTGCTTGTACAGCTTTCCGTTTTAGACTTTCTGCAGTTTTATTCTTCTCATAGAAGGCTCCATAAAGTTCTGACCTAAAATAAAAACAAAAATTAATGTCAAGAATTAAAAAACATCAGTTTATAACTTAGAAAACACAAACTCATCTTCAGATATGAAACATATATGATCCTCCTCAGATTAACAGGAATTATGATCCTCCTCAGATTAACAGGAATAAAACAGACTGGATCAAGTTTAACTAACTTAAAATTAATTAATTAATTAATTAATTAATTAATTAAAAGAAAGTTTAACGAACTGTGAAAGATATCTGATATAAAACAACTGCAGATTTACTGAGTCACTGTGTTCAAAATGTGACTTTTTGTTTGTGATGAAGATGATTTGTTTAAAATGAAGAAAGAATAATTAGAATAAAGATGAAAGTAAAGTTCACCCGTCTGCAGAAAGCTGCAGCAGCAGGATCTTCAGGTTTGGAGACATTTCTGACAGGAAGCTGAGGTGACTGGACCTGATGGTGAGCTGACTGAAGGCCTGGACACACAAACACACAGATAAACACAAACGAACACAAACAACCAAAAACAAACACTAACAAACAGTCACAAATAAACACAAACACACAGATAAACACAAACACACAGATAAACACAAATACACAGATAAACACAAACACACAAATAAACACAAATACACAGATAAACACAAACACACAAATAAACACAAATACACAGATAAACACAAACACACAAATAAACACAAACACACAAATAAACACAAATACACAGATAAACACAAACACACAAATAAACACAAATACACAGATAAACACAAACACACAAACACAAACACACAGATAAACACAAATACACAAATAAACACAAACACACAAATAAACACAAACAAACACAAACAAACAAACAAAAATAAACACTAACAAACAGTCACAAACAAACACAAACACAGAAACATGTTCAGACCCAGCAGCTGATTGGACAGGTACAGATTATGTTTTCTTCCTGATCTGTAAGACTTGATGTAAAAAGATCAACTCTGAGGATTTTACTGTAAAATGAAAACAAAGCTAAAGGCACTCAGGTGTGACTCTCTGCTCCTTCACAACATTAATAATTATTATAATCATCCTGCAGCCATGAAGGAACTCTCAGCAGCCATAAATCACGGCGGGGCTGCTGGCTGACCTCGTACCTTGGACAGGCTGCTCAGGGAGTCCTCCACCTGCTTCGGGCGGAGGCTGAGCAGGGCTGAGAGGCGGGACTCTGAGGGGTCTCTGCAGACAGAAGTCAGGAGCTCAGAGGCCACGGCAGCCGTGCAGCAGCTCTGTGAAGGAAAGCCCAGAGGATGAGAGGAGTCCCCGCAGGCTGCAGGACGTGGCTCGGCTCAGACCTACCTGAAACAGAGCCAGGTGCTGACCGGCCTCTGCAGGGTCAGACCGGCCGTGACACTGCAGCAGGTTGAAGGAGGCGTCGGCCAGGATGGAGGAGGACACGTTGTGCTGCAGACACAGGCTGACCGCCTCACACAGAACTTTACTGGACTCTTCCAGCAGCTGCTTGGTTCTGAGCGTCCTCTGCAGCATCACAGACAGGAGTTCACATGCTGCTCTGGATGAAGACCCCTCATTAAAGCCCCTCAGGTGTGATGGAGTCACGTTACCTGCAGCTCAGACCTGCCTGAGGACGTGTCCACCCGTCTGTCTGGATCAGAGTCAGAGCAGGTTTCCTGCAGAGCAGAGAYGATTAAAGATCAGAAACAAAGATTCATTTAAACAAGATCAACTCAAAATGATGATTTTATAAACTTTTATTCTAAAATCAACAAACTGGAAACAATAAAACTTTAACTGGTTTATAAAATCTATAAGTTAATACGTCTACCTGTCTGTGTGCATCCCACAGGGCCCTCACGTGCACGGGGTCCTCGTGCACAGCCAGCAGCCTCAGGTATTTTCCAGTTAAGCTCAGGCAGTGAGCTCTGACCTCCATGTTGTCTGAAGACTGGAAGCTGACAGCAGCCAGCTGACCCAGAACCAGCTGACCCAGTGTCTGACCCACAGCCTCCCAGTCCTGCAGCAGACAGGATGGAGGGACAGCYACAGAAACCAGTCAGCTCTGACAGAGACCGCTCGTGCTGCTCTCTGCTCTTTGTGTCATCATGTGTTTACCTGTTGTGTAGAGCTGGGCTCAGGTGTGCAGCGTGTAAACTCCTCTAACATGACGTCAGCAGGTGTTTTCTTGTCCCGGTCCAGAGCTCGGTGGACCTCCTCAGCACAGCGCTGCTCCAGAACATCCAGACTGAACTGGGCCAGGCAGAACCGCAGCTCCTCGAGCCTCCTCACTGCTGGCAGCGACACCTCCTCCTGACCCTGACACAAGGAGCAGAACCAAAACCAGAACCTCATCTYACACAACACCTGGTAGATAACAACATCACAACTAGACATGGGTTTTTATGATGTAAAAACAAGTGTGCATTACCATGTAGCATGTCATTACAGCATGGCTTTACCTGCAGAATGAACTTTGACCAAGTTCAAATGTGTTTTCTACACCAGCTTGTGCCTGTCATGTCAGCAGGTGTTTGTAGTTAGGGTAATTGTGTGACAATATGAAGTTTGAAGAGATCTTTTGTTAAAGTTGTGTTAGCTGGGTTTTGAACCC